ACACAACATTTCTGCCACAAAACACATGCAAAGACACCCACATGCAAAATGGAAGAAAGGCACGGCAAAGGGGAAGGAATTGTGCTTGTTTTGTGGCTGAAATGATGCAAAGAACATGTGTGTGCAAGTGTAATAGCTAGGATGATAACATGGCAGCAAACACATGGCAAAGAAAAGAACATGGCAGCAAACACATGAAGCACACGGCATGGGCAGAAAATGTGGGTGTTTGGTGGTTGAAATGATGAAGCATGTGTGTGTAAATGTAAATGATAACATGGCAGAAAATGTGTGTTTTGTGGTTGAAATGATGAAGCATGTGTGTGTAAATGTAAAGGGGAAACATGACAGCTCACACCCACACAAGCTGCACATGCAAAGGAAATGGAGTGGTCCTCTCTCAAGCCTATAAATACCACCTCCCATATTCATCAAAAAACCGATTTGGATCCTTGTCTTTGCCGTGAGTTTTCCACCACCATTCTCTCCAAATTCAGCCAAAAATCACCCCTAGCCACACCACCTATCAACCCTAAACCTTTCCATACCATTCCCCATCCGTTCTACACCATAAAAACCACCCAAACCTTGTCCAAAACCTCTCTGCCGCAGCAAGGAAGAAGGAGGAACTTTGGATGCACCTGCTGCCAAGTTGGACTGTTTTAGGTGTTCTCTTTCTTTGAATTTTAATGTCTAATTTTATGTATCTTTGCTTTGCAAGTATGAGGAACTAAACCCCCCCTTGGCTAGGGGGGAATTCAAAACCATGTTTATGCTTGCTATATGATTTGATTATTTCCAATTGCGTTTCATGAATTGTGAATTTAATTTACTTATCTCTATGAATTAAAACTAATTTGTGTATGTTGGTTGAGAGTGCACGCTTAATTTTCATGCATAAGTTTGTTGCTAGGATATAAGGGAGTTTCACCTAATCGTTATGAACTTATATTCATAAGTAGTAAAGGTTGTTGATCACAATCATGTTAAGTAAATTCTTGGCATAAGTTTCATGCAATTCATAGTAACAAGTGTCTCGCCAATGCTTATGGTTTTCATAGAATTTAATGATTCTTGCTTGTATCTCTATTATGCAATTCATGTAGGGGACTTGTGAGGAATGTTTGGGTTGTCGTATGCAATTCATCCAATTCAATAACTTTAGGGAAATCTGAGGGTTAATTAGTGCAATTCACAGTTAATCTGGGGTGTTGGGAATTCATGGTGTGTCGAAGAGCAATTGGAAATCATTTTGTATGCAAGTATAATATGTGTGGAGAAGAACCCCTTAGCTAGCTTCTCATCCATTCAATTTAATCAATCTCGTTTTACAATCTGCTAGTTCTTAAAGTTTTTGTTTAGTTTTAAATTTCGTCAAGAACCAATCTCCCATTTATTTCAAAGTGTTAGATTAGTTAGTAATCACTTTAGTTTGTATTTTTAAGTGTTTTGATTCAAGTGGTAAACCAATTTCGTCCAAATTTGTGTTTGTGCTCAAAACTGCCCAGAAAGTGTTTTTAAGGCAGTTTTGAGTCTTTTGGTTGCTGTTTTGAATCTTTTTGGTTATCTTAGTGTTTAAACTTTAGTTTTGCATTCTTCGAGTCTAGTTTAGTGTTTTAAACTTTGTTTTTAAGTTTTGAGTCAGTTTTCAAGTGATTTGGCAATCCTTCCTAATCACCGGCTTAGAACGATCCCTACTTACATACTTGCTACAATTGATAAAAAGAAGGTTTAATTTGTGTGCTTATATATTTCGCATCATATAGTAATGGTCATAGGAAGAAGTGATGGTTTTGTGTCCTAGGTCTAGTTTATTTGATTTGAGTTTCTTAAGGATCTAATTGGCGAGGAAGCAAACGATTGTCATATATGTTATGGGGTTGTTCATTTCCTCTGGATAAAAATCATTTTGGATAAGTCGTTAGTTGAGTTGAGTCTCAGTTGGATGGTTATATGGTAACTAATTCTCAGCATTGCTGGATCGGGTGTAGAGTGCAAGGACCTTCGGAAACTTGTTTTAGTATGTTAATTCTAGGTTCTATATTTTTGAAAGATTTTGCAGAATTGTATTTTAGTATGATTTCTTGACATTTTCGTATCCATATTCCATGTTAATTGTGACACCCTGGGCATTTGTGTGCTTCTTTGCATATTTGGAAATTCATGGTACAAATCTTTTGGTAATAAATCTCTATCGACCTTTTCATGGAGCGTTGTTTTTTAATATAATTATGGGGGACTAAGGACGGCTTTGAAGAATTTTTGTTCCTAGTTTTAATTTCTGCTGGTGCTCTTAGACCAACTCCAATGGTGGGCTAAAAGTCAAATTACCCCGCCCCCAAACAATATCCAATCCATGCTAAAATTTTGGGCTAAATGCCAAATGTTATTTTTGGGCCAAATACCCCCCAGGTCCCCCCCCCCCCGGCGCGACTGGACTTGCTGGCCTTTGGGCCAATCTTGGCCCGTTCACGCTCCAACGCGCCCCACGCGGAGCGCCTGTTTCGTTCCCGACAGGGGTGGGCCCCGCTGTCAGCGGTTTGTCAGCCACCCACTGAATTCCAACGGCTACATTTTGAATCGAATGACTAGTTTTCAAGGACCGTTGGTTGATCCAACGGTCCAGATTCAAATTTGATTTTTTTTAAATATGTTATTTTAAAATACATTGAATCCAACGGCTGAGATCGAATATAATTAAATCTAACGGTAAAAAAAAAGATCTAACGGCCCAAATTTAAATCTAACGGCTAAAATAATTTTAAAAAATTATTTAACTCAAAATTCATCCAAAAACTCTATAAATACTTATGTATTTGTTCAAACATCCACACAAAACTCAATTTTCTCTTACAATTCTTCCAATTTATCTTTCTACCATTTCTTTCCATTTCCAAATTGTTCAACATGGCAAGAGAACATATTAGAGGTCGTAATTGGACCTATGAGGAAGATGTTGCTCTATGCTTGGCATGGGTTTCTGTTAGCGAAGATGGTGCAGTTGACACAAATCAAAATAAGAAGGTTTTGTGGGATAAAATCATTGCAAAGTTTCAAGAAAACTGCAATGGTAGCGGCGGCGGCGGGGGGGGGGGGGGGGGGGGGGGGATGGTGGTGGTGTTTATGGTCAGTTGAACGGTTGGTGAATTGAAAGTTAGCCCAGGATTGAAAAATTGGTAAAAGTTGAAGGCTTGCTTTGTGGAAAATTTTGTGATTTTTCAATATTTATCATAATTTAAATTTTTTTAGATAAAAATGTTCATAAAATTAATTTACGATAGTCTACATATTTATTTATTTTTTAAATTTAATTTAAGAAAAAAAATAACCTAACCATTGGAGATGGTCTTAAGAGGTATATTTAACATTTGGAATAAGATGTTTTAGATAATACGTTAATTAGGTTTGATCCTCTCATTATGAATATTAAAATGTTATTTTTTTTTCAAAAAGTACTTCATGTATCTTTTTTTTGTTGGAATTAAGTCTTTAAAATAAATTATTAAGCCTTTAAAATGCAAAAAAAAACATATTACAATCTATTGCTCTTTCTATTTACATGTAAGTGAGAGGTTTTATGATCAAATATTGGAAACAATAATTTTACAACCAAATTATTTTCTCTTCCCCTTAGCATATAAAAATCGTTGTATAAATTAAAAAAAAAATTACACCCTCTCTCAGCGGGGTTCGTATTTTTGCCCCACTCAATGGTTCAGATCTGGGCTTTGGCCCATCATCTATTCTAATCTGAATGCCACGTGGCCCATATGTATTTTGCATACGATTTATTGTTGTTACACCCTAATACACGTGATCATAACCTAGTCCCGTCCAACCTGCCGCTCAAACCTATTTTCCTGTAAGACTCACCTCAAAAGGCTTCTCCTTATTTTCGCCGTATTCTTCCTGTAGGTAAGCTCGATGGCTTATTTTCTTTTAATCTTCGTGTTAATTGATTCTTGTTGGGTTTTGTTTGCTTTTGCTTCTGTTTCTTGGTTTACTATATAGGATTAATTCATTAACTTGGTTTTTGAAATTATTCGTCTGCCTACGTTTCTGTCATCTGTGAGTAATGGCTTGCTGTTTGAATTTCTGATTTCTGTTTGAGCATTTGAATTGCTTTTATTTGTGTTTCTGATTTGTTCTGCAACTGGGTTTGTTTCCATTTGCATTTTGGGGCAGTCCCTGACGGTTTTCGGCGTTAGTTATGGTTGTTGTAAAGTTTCACTTCACTGCCGATGTTATTGCTAAATAGTACTTAAGCCATTGGTTCAATCTTTTTCGGTATTTTGCTTCATATACATTGTTGGTCAGACAACTTGAGCTTCTTGGGTTTTAGTGGATGTACGTCTAACAAGGTATCAGAGCCTTTGGATTTCAGTGCTCAACCCTTATTGTATAGATTTTCCTAGAACTTGGACTTAGAATTTAGTTATGTTTTCTTTGCTCTATCGCCATTACAACTAACTCATAGTTTTGTGGTCTGACGTTTCTTTTCTGAGAATAAAAGTTCAACTTGTTAAAACATTAGACAGCGGAAAATTGGCAACCTTTGTTTCGAAACTCCCCTATTTCCCCTTTCTTGAATTAACACAAGTATTTTTTTTTTTTATTGAATACCTCTGTATTTAGAAACTTATCAAATATTTTTTGCAAATGGTTTCGTCGCAGCTTCAGATGGTTATGTTGCCTTATGAAACTAAGTTCGTATGGACTTTACTATGGCATTTTGTGGTTTGTTTTGTGTTTAGATGGTGGTTCTAGAGCTGTTCATGTTTTTGTGCCTTTTGAATTGTTTTACTTATGTAACTCAACTGTTCATATAATTTTTGTCGAAGAATATATCAAGCATACAATTCATGAGTAATTATGTTTCTGCCAAATAAATATGAAGATGATTGCCTGAAATATTCTGTGATCGTTTTGGGAAGCCATGCTCCAGTGGTTGTGTGCCTCTTGAAAAGTGTTTAAATATTAATGAATGGTGCTGTGTTTAGGAATTATCAACAGTACAGAACCTTAGAAGACTTAACACGGACAAAGATGAGACCTTTAGACGAGACTGAGACCACGACAGTGTTTGAAAAGCTGTTCAAGTTTACAGGCAACAACCTCAAGAACATTGTCGAGAATCCGTCTCATGAAGGCCCAGACCCGGGTCCAGGTCGTTACTGCTTTCGCCTCCACAAGAACAAAGTTTACTATGTTAGCGAATCACTAGTAAAGCGTGCTACAAATATAGCTCGGACCCAGTTAGTCTCTCTTGGCACCTGTATTGGTAGGTTCACTCATGGTGGTAAGTTCCATTTAACCGTTCAGTGTCTGAGCTTATTGGCATCAAATGCTAAACACAAGGTCTGGCTCAAACCTACCTCCGAGATGTCGTTCTTGTATGGAAACCATGTTTTGAAAGGTGGTTTGGGGAGGATTACAGAGAATATTGTGCCGGGTGATGGGGTGGTTGTATTTTCAATGTCAGATGTGCCTTTGGGTTTTGGGATTGCTGCCAAGTCTACTCAAGATTGTAGGAAGTTGGACCCCAATGGAATTGTGGTGCTTCACCAGACTGATATTGGAGAGTACTTGAGGATGGAGGATGAGCTTTGAATAATTAGACGGGTTTTGAGTGGTTATGACAGATGTGTTGGTGTCTAATCGAAGATTTGTGCGGGTCATGTAAGTTGATCTATCAGCTTTTGATCAATTCGAGTTGAAGTCTTGTCGGATGTGGATGATTGTTGAACATTACTTTCATTAGTGTAAGACCAAATTTCACTACACCAAATTGTTGTTTGTGAATGCACATAGACCAGCTAACTGTTAACCTCACTATAACCTACTGATATAGCCGAATTATTTATTGCAAGTCCATGGTAGCCAAAGGAGTCTCTTACAACTTCATCTAGCTCGACATCAATTGGAGATGGACTTACATTGGCACGGGTACGCTGCATTGTTGCATCATTGGCACGGGAGGCCATTGCGATGATGTACTCGTTCAGCATCATTGGCACGGGAGGCCATTGCGATGGTGTACTCGTTCCATGAAAGTTGTGGTGTTTGCATCAAACAACGGTTGGGATTTGAGTCCATTTTAACTGATAATAGCTTGTCTCATCCGGCCCATCAAACGGGCAGTGTCCAGAACTAAACCATATTTACGAAGTATTTTGAAGAAAAAATTTATGGCATTACTTATCAGGAACGGAAACACTTATTTATGACGTTTCATTCGTTTACTAACACAAAAGGAAAATAAAAGGTGAGAAATCTTATATTTGAATTTTGTGAATGACGAGTTCGATGCGAATTTATTTCTCCCATCCATTAGTATAGATATATCGTTGTATCAGAATAATTAAAATAAATAAGTGAGCCTCATACTGAAAATATGTGTTCCACTTCCACTTCAACAAGGTATCCTTTTCACTTTTTAATTTAGATCCCACAAGCACTTAGATGGAAACTACTCATGACTCGAGAGCCTCAAATGCTGGTGAGATCTAAGGTGGAGGCGTCATCGATTTGTCGGAATGACAAGGAATCAAGACAGACAAACACCAAGAGGATGAAGATCTCACCGTGACGCAAGAGATGGCAGGGGTTCAACCTCGCAAGGCTGCCGAATGGAGGAGATATGCCTAGGCCCCCTCCAACAGTGATGCTCTGTTCTCAGGAAATGATGTTGCTGAATCAGTTGGCAAGCGAAGAAAAGAGTAAACCTATCAACACTTGTAAGACAAAAATACTCAGCAGAATAGCTAACATAATTCATTCATAATTCAAGCTACATCGTCGCAGAGAACATGATTCATAAGAACAATGTTCATATTATGAATCGTGTGCCATCATTTTCGCATAAATATCGCTGTGATCCTAGTGAGCTATCGTGTGAAGATCCATATTGGAGGGGTCTTTAATGTGTGCCATAGTTTTGAAAGAAACATGATTCTTTCGCTGCTCGTAGTAAGCCCTTGTGCGTGGCTCCATGTTGGTGGTGTCTATACTCATAATTCGGTCATCATGCTCTCTTTGCTTCCTTTCATTCGCTTCCTCCATCACCTTTACCTTTCTTTCTGCAATTTTCGCCTTTCTGTTATCTGTTTCGGCCAATTGTTTGGTAAGCTTCTCCATCACGTCACATAGACTAGAATCCAAAGTTCCTACTACCTTGCTTCTTTTGCATGCTTCTTTTTCAGCTCTTCTTCTGGATCGTTTCCTTTTAAGAAATTCAGCTGTATAATATGGACCTTTGTCAGTGTCATGTGAGACAAGAGTGTCAGACTCCGATTGGGAAGAGAATGAGGAAACATTGTTCGGGTTTGTAGCCATAGGATGAGGATCAGACCTTTTCGGTGAGGAATTGGTGTTCAAGTTTGCGGCAATAGTAGGAGGATCGGACCTCTTGGCTGAGGAATCAACATCTGGGTCTATATCCAAGGTTCGGGTACCAGACCTCGTCGGTGAGGAAGTGATGTTCAGGTTTGCAGCCACAATAGGAGGATCAGACCCCTTCGGTGAGAAATCCACATTTAAATCTGTAACCGTAGCATCAATATCTGACCTCTTTGACGGTGGCAAACTCTTCCATTTGATGTTATGTTGCAAAATTTCCCAGCAATGGTTGAATGCAAAACGTTTCTTTTCAAGCTTCAAGAACAATATATTTGCTTGAAGAACCTAGACGTGATTTTAGGAAGTTGGCTATTTAGGGAAAATTATTACTAAGAAAAGGCGAAGGAAAGTACAGATTCTCACCTTGTTAGATTCCGTCAATCCACTTTGTTTCTGTTCTATTTTGGTAAGACATTCATGAAACTGATTGCAACTTCCAAGAATTATTTTCCACCTAGACTGGACGGAACATCGTGATCGCTCATTTTGATCACCGGTTATCTCAACATATTTTTGGTATATTCAATCCCAGGAAATACATTTTGGTTGCGAAACAACATTGAGCAGATCCTGAGAGACACTTAACCGAGCATTGCAAACAGCCACATCTTGATCCAATGTGAACGATTTTCCCCTTGTCATTGGTTGTCGAGTGTCTTCCAGTTTCAACAAGACTGGATTAATCAAAAATAAAACATAACAGCAAAATGAGCATAAATTGGCAGGCTGATTTCGACAAAACAGTAAAACACAACAGAAAATCACAAGACGGTCAGTAGCCTCCAAATTTACAAAACTTTACAAGAACAAAACACAAACGAAAAACTAGTGCATGATCTTGTTTACAAGTTTCAGAAAATGTGCATTCTCTTCCAACCACTTAACAACTTTTTGAGTTTTGAAACGCTTTAAAATTTGGTAGCCTTATGAGAAGGATACTGCATATCTCATTGAATAATCATGCAATTGTCACGCATATCTACCCTAAGTTCCAATTAAGCTAACAAATCACAAGAAGTTAAGCGTAACGCCTTGCTAACACATGCGCATTTCAGTCCCTCAACTTCCTCTTCATATGATTGAATATCATTTGCAGTCTTGCAGACTCATTCACAGTTTTACGCACTCTAATCATTTCCCATCTAAACGATTTGATCTGCAATATGGCGGATCAAACTTAAGACAGAGCACACTAGAAAACGTCTAAAAAACCTTCTTCCTCTATTATACACACTTCTTCACTAGACCCTGCAATGATGACGTTACTAGCATTACTAGTTATATCTTCTGTTTTTCGCCTTTTCTCCCGGACTACAAGTTAACTAATTCAAGCTATATCCCGGCTAGTCGACAGAAAACAAAAATTTCTCAAGTAAAATTTGTAGTCCATCAGTCCAAGTTTCCATCTTTAGCACACTTTAGAGGCTTCATCCTCCCACCCCTTGACAATCCACACACCCCCACCCCAAAACCCTCCACAAACAAATTACCAGCTCCATTTACTAGAACACTGTATAGTAACCATGCTTACATGCATAGTCGTTAGGTATGCTTCTAAATTCTAATCACCCCCATTGCAGATGGAGGAAGTGAAATCGATGTGGTTCCACTTGGACAAATATCAGAGTTTCCACAGGATTATGATCCAAAATTGAACTCTCACACATTGTAATCAAAAGTGGAAGAGAGTAAAACTTACTAGTAGCCAGAAACTGCAAGTAAACCTCCCTAGTTCAAGAGCCTTATACTAACTCCACCGGCAAGTCTGCAACCATAAAATTTCAATGAACAACACAATTAATTTAACAGTTCAAAACAAAACTTGATTAAAAAAAATTACAATTAACAACATATGAAATAAAGTAAAAGTGTAAACCAAAAATAGTGATCGGAACATTAAAGATGAAACAGAAAATGTAATTAATAGAGGCATACGAAATCAAAAACACAATTAACAGAAGCTTACATCAACAGCAGCATAGAAGCACACAACATGAAATGTACAAGGGCAACACAATTCAGTCAGTGGAAACACACGAAAGAAACAATCCAAACTTATAGAATTCTTAAAATTAACATAAGCACTGAAAATTAAAAAATGAAAAAGAAATAGGTAGCAGCACATGAAATTAAGAGCAGCATCAACTTAGCCGAGCCTAGAAGAGTGGGCTTGTAGCCAAGCAGGGCATTAAAATTGATTGGTGATGGAGCCTAAGCTAAGAGGATATTGGTGTTTGAACTCTGTTCACCACCATTGGTGTGTGAGGTCACATTAAGCACGCCTTAGCTACTCAGGTTAGTAGGGCACCCCACACACTTTGAGTGGGTAGCAAACAACAAAACTGAGAATCGACTTGGAAGAACATAACCAACTTAAACAAAACACAAGAAATAAAAGATATTAATGAAAAACAAAATTTACATCACCCTTAATTTTCCGAACGATATTTTAACAAATTGAAATATATATCCAGAACTATTCCAACCGATTTGACAAATCGACGTGCAAGACAGAAAGAAAGTGAGTAACCTAAAGTAATTTGGGGGGGAAATGTCACACTCAAAACAATGGCAAAACCCCAGCAAGGAAATCTCAAAGGGTAATCAGCTCGAACAGGCATAACACATTACGAAATCCAAATTGTGAAAGTTCAAGTCAGTTCGTTTCCAGCTTCCCAAACACTAGTTAAGCTAACAAACACGCCACAAAAATGCATCGAGGTTAAGCTACAAGAGACCAAACGGGCAATGTGGTATAGAGAGAGAGAGAGAGTTACCATCAGTCAAAAAGAGTAGCAGGTGTCGCTGGGCGGTAGAGGAGAGGGTTAAGGTAGAGAGGGTTCCCTGTGTGAGACAAGAGAAGATGAAAAATCATATGCAAAACAAGGGTTTTTGTGTTTTGCGAGTGATTCTGTGTAGGAAGGACCACAATAAGCCCTTGATTTTTATTTTTTTATTTTTTTTATTTTTTAAGTGACTCAAATGGTTCCAAACCTAACCTCCTTCCCCTTGTTTTCTTTTCATTTTTTAATTTTATATCTTCTATAGGAGAAATTTTTCCGTGTGATTGGAACACACACCTTAGCATGATAGGTGGTGTTCCTCATCAATAACCTATGAATACTTGTATTCTTATAGCATAACAATTTATTACATTTCAATTTTTATTAAAAAAATTAAAATAAACAAGACAAGCACTGTTCCCAAAACTTGCTTTCTAGTCCCAGTCTCCCAAAACGCCCCCATCTCCTCCCGACTCTTATCCTCCCCTCATTGTTACTGGAAAAATCTTAAACGGAGGTCGGTGACGGCAAAATCTTAAACCACCCACCTCCATAGTCGCCTGTGATTTCACCAAGACGCCATTTTTCACAAAGGTTTCCGATTCCATGCCTAATGCCTTGGCTTTTTCAGGTAACAATGGGGGGAGGAGAAGAGTCGGGAGGAGATGGGAGCGTTTTGGGA